GTTTGTGGAAGATTACGTTCACGATATTGCAGTTGTGAATTACAAAAAAAAAAAACAATGCTTAACAAAATGCTAGAAGAATTATGAAATTTGGGCTCTAATCATTTCGATCTTTCCTCAACCTCATTTTTAAAGAAATAAATATTGTACCAGCATGCTGGTAAGTTATATGCTTCGAGCCTGATGGTACAATCACTTGATGGAACCACCAAGCTGGTGTCGTATATTTCCCCTTTTATACAAAAAGGTTTTTGGTTGGATAAAATATTAGCTTTTTTTCCAGAGTTCATTGTTTTTATATACCATTACTTATTGAAAATGTTTACGTATATACTTATATATGTATATGTAAGTAAAAAATTTTAGCTACCATTTTTAGCCACAACGATTTTTTTAGCTCTTTTTTAGCCCTTTTTTTTAAAGGAATTTGGCTACCACTAAAAATTATGCGCGGCAACACTGCATACCATGGCTCTTATTTTTGTGTGTTCATACGTTTAGCTTGTTGTGACTAGACAATGCAATAAAACAGAACTAAAAATACGAATCAGATGATAATTCTTTTCCCTCCCTAGATATGTGTACATATGTATGTACATATTACATAGGGTATGATATATAAGCAATTCGGACGTTGTTAGCTGTGCTATTTATTTGTTTGTGAATGAAAATCAGCTGACGAGAACGTAATACGAATGGAACGACAAAATGCGTTACTTAAATTTTATTACTTAAGAATGTCCATACCGCATCGGTCATATCAGTAGCACCCTATTTCAAAGTGATATTGTTTGCCACTTATGTTGTCTTTAATTATGTTTAAGAAACCGTATACTCATAAAATTCTAACACTTCAGGGAAAAAGTTTGGGAAAATGTTCCTAAAAATCGCACCACATATGAAAAAACGAAATTTGAGGAGGCGTAGGGGGGGGGGGCGGGGGGGGAGTTTTCTGATTCTAAAAGTGACGACCGCACCCATAGGAGGCTTATAGTTATCAAGTAAGAATATTCTCGAGGTTTTGCATAGCCCTTGCACGGTGCACGGATTGCATGGTAAAAACCGGTTTTCCTATGGGACAGCTTTGCGGACCGTGCACCGTGCAAGGGCTTTGCAAGACTTCAAGAATACTTTTTTAGTATAGTAGATTGGTTAAAAAAAATAGTCATGTGCATTAAAAGTGTTCAAAATTAAGCCAAGCTTTGCATAGGTATGTTCCGAGACAAGTAAATACGAGTATGTACTCGATACTTTTGTTTCGATACCAACTACTTTTTTCACTCAAATCGTTGTTTCGATACCTACTTAGTATCGAAAGAAAAGTACTTGTATCGAATCGATTTGAGCAAGTGCCATATCTTGTCGGCCATATTTTTTTATGGAAGAAACTTTGCACAGCATCGTTTTTATGAAAAATAATTGCTTTAAGCAATGACACCGCCAATATCTGAAGTGTGGATTATTTTTTTCAAAGTTAGTGATACCAAAGCAAAGAATTAGGTTCACAAATGGCCTACTTAAACTGAGAATATGTCGAAAATATTTGAGATAGGGCGTTTTTGAATCGGCAGCTGAGATAGGGCGTTTCTGCGCCGAATTCCGAAATAGGGTGCTCTTGAAAAGTTTTCTGAGATAGGGCGTTTGTCAATAAAATTCTGAAATAGGGCACTTTTGAAATATTTTCTGAGATAGGGCGTCTTCGAACTGGGCTGCAATTTAGTTTGGCATCCCCGGAGTTCCGCATTAAGGTAGCTATGGAACGGTAGAGGAAGTTCTCCTGATTGCAAATATATATACTTTTAGCCGCAGCAGGCTTATAGTTTTTAAGTTATTTGTTGTTAAAGTTTGTAAGTTGAACTAACCTCTCGGCGCTATTTCACACAATAAACACTATATTTATGTACACACTTCGGCAAAATAGTTGCATTAAAACCCCGGCCTGAGATTTCCACTTTAATATACAATTCTTAATTAATTAATTAAATAAAACGCGTTTATAAATGTCTTCACATACGTTTGCACATTTCACAAACAAGCAGAAATAACAATGGCTGACAGTAACACAAAATGTATGCTACCATACGTTAAATAAAATACACCACAAGTGTAGAATACGTACATACATTGCTCTTATTAAAAATAATATTAGGATCGATCCCTGTCTTACTCCTGATCATAACGGTATAATTTTTTTCGGGTGGAAATAATATTTACTGGTGTTCTTGTAGTTCAAAGTACACAAATGTAGAAAACGCACATCGATAACTTGATAAATAATGAAAATTTTTAATTAAAAATCGATACTTCGATAAATAATGAAAATTTTTAATAAAAAATCGCGCGATTTTTTATTATAAATTTTCGCCTGCGGCGCCTTTTCCATAAAAATCAATACTTCGATAAATAATCGCGCGATTTTTTATTAATCGTGCCTTTTCCATTCCAAAAGGCGCCGCGGGCGAAAATTTTTAATAAAAAATCGCGCGATTTTTTATTAAAAATTTTCATTATTTATCGAAGTATCGATTTTTAATTAAAAATTTTCATTATTTATCAAGTTATCGATGTGCGTTTTCTACATTTGTGTACTTTGAACTACAAGAACACCAGTAAATATTATTTCCACCCGAAAAAACTAGGTTTGCAAAGCTGTCCAATTGGAAAACCGGTTTTTAACATGCAATTCGTGCTCCATGCAGGGAGGGTCACTTTTTACACTGGGTGGAAAGCTTGTCGAGCTTGTAGGCAACAAGGATAGGGAAGTCAGCAAGGTAGGCATGCACGCACGGTGAGCGAAATCGAGGGATTTTTTGACGTTTCGTTTTTATCGAATTCATATTTTCGTATTTTTACTTTGAGCTCGTGTAAATGCACGAAGATTTTCGAAGACATTTTTAAAAGGGAATGTGCAAAAAACGCAGGGTGAAAAGTCGTCGTGTAAATTGGCTCAAAATAATATTCATGCATGAACACAGACGTTGGTGCTGTCAGACGATTAAAGTAATATCAAAAGAAAATCGCGCGTTTATGTATTCCAAATTCTAATTTTTGATTAAAAGATTGTCTTATATAAAAATAAATAAAATAAAAGCGTTTTAATATACCACGTTTCTATAAATGAAGTAAAATTTAGAAAATAATATTTCGCAGCCCCATAGAATTTGTTTTGATAACTTTTAATTTTAAAACCAAAAAGGTAATTATTAACATATTATGTTACCAGGCTAGTCTGATCTATGTTTTTAGTGCGAATAAAACTACATTATTCCACTTTCTGGCCCAACGTTTCGCTAAAACATTTTTAGCATCTTCAGGGGCAATCCAGCTTTACGTGGGGCGCTGTAGAAATTTTAGGTTTATGATATGCATTTTGACTATTGAATGAAAGAATTATTGTCATTGTGTATTGCATGCGCTCCACGTTTTTCATTTTCAATCTCATAAATTGTTTATAATTACTTTTTCTAAAATTTTAAAATTAAAAGTTATCAAAACAAATTCCATGGGATCAAATGATTAATCACAAGCCAAAAAAAATTATAACAATTAATTGCAATTTTTCGAAAATAATCGATTACCTCATAGAAGTTTTATATGCACCCTACTAAGCTGGCATTTCAGGGTACTATTTTATATATATATATAAGGAAAATTTGAAAGTTAGGGGGGGAGGCTCGAGCACCCCCCTGCCCCTACCTGACTACGCCCATATCTGCATACATACATATCACAGCGCACGGCAGTGAGCGCGAGTGACGAAAGCAGCCACAGTAGCATGCTGAAATGACTCGCTTATATATATACACGAAATTTGGAAGTTTTTATCCAGACGTCCAATCGACATGTTTGAGATATCGTTGGAAAGGTTTTGCAGAGTGTGTCCAGAAAATGTATTCAAGCTTCGTAAACGATGAACCGGGTTCTTAAAAATTAGGCTAAAGTGTTGCGAAACAAAAAACGTTTTTTTGCTTTTGCCGGTTTAAGGGGGCATGTAGGTGTCACCCAACATATTTAGTGTTATTCTATAGGCCAATACCTTTCAAACAAGGATGCATCTTAACGTTAAGTTTCACGTTAATCAAAAAATTTCAATCGTTTCGGTTGAAACATTTGGGAACATCATTGTTAAAGCAGTTATCAAAATAAATTTCATTACGTTTTTAACCGAAACGAAAAGTTGTTGTTGAAAAGAAGTCAGAATTTTTGCCGTTTTGAAACAATTGTATCATTTTTGATACTTTTTTTTCTAAATTGTATGATTTGATACTTTGGTACTTTTTTGTTGACAAATGTCCCATTTTGATAATTTTGGCAGGCAGAAATGAATTTTATAAAACCATGAATAACACTAGTTTAAAGGCAAATAATATTTTTCTTGTTACTTAAAGTCTTAAAATTTATATATAGATATTTATAAGCTTGATTTGGTAACCCTTATAAGGGAAATACAACCCGGAATTTCTTTGCGCACTCCGCTATTATAGCGCCCCCAAACCACACAAACAAAACATTGCGCAATATTGGCCTTGCGTCGGTCGTTTTTGTGGTGTATGGGGTTGTTTGTACTAAATTGCACAGTTAGTGCGCTAAAATCAATCAATATCATTTCGATATTTTGCTCATGCTTGTGTTATTGTACAATAATTTGTGCTGCGTATGACGACAACTGCGCAATTTTTAGTCTAGTTTTGATTTTTGTGTCCAGATCGTACTGTAAAATACATATGGATAAAAGCGCAGAATATAATAAAAATTTTTTAATATTCTTTTTTTTGCGTTTTAAAGCTGAAACTATCAATATATACAATGCGCATTCTTGCACATATTTACTTGATATATTAGATTGTTTTTCGTTATGCAAATAAGCATACAGATTCTCTTGTTTTGTTAAAGCAAGTAATTTAAATTTTTTTTGTGACTATGGATTTAATAATAAAATTTTACTTATTTGTTTTCCAAATAACAGTTTGCTTGCTTTTGATACTTTTTGATCCCTTTTCTGCTCGGCAACTGATACTCTTTTTCTCCAGCTCGCGGCACCGCTGGCAGTCAGCTGTCAGCTCAAAATACATAAACAAGACAAGTAAATACGATTGCAGGAAGTTTAAGCAAAAACCGTCGAATTGTCAGTTAAGCTTGGCAAAATATCATCAAAAAGATTATATCGCATTTTTTAAGGTATTTCTGCATTTGTATTAATCAATAAGTAATGGATTTCATCAGTTTTCTTTCCAGCCACAGACATTACTTAGTACAAATTGTTGAGAGATGGCTGAGTTAGTTTTGGAGCGTACTTGCAGACTCGGTAAGCGCAATTAAATCAATAATGCAGGTACCGGAGTCGCCTTTGGTGGAGCAAATCAAATGTATTTAAGAACTACCTCATATACAGTTGTGTTCTTAAGTGTTTACAAGCGCCCTGCAAACCATTTTTACAGAGTATTCTGAATTGTAGAGAAATTTTAAAGAATTCGTAAAGATCTCCTCCGATTTTTTTCCGAGTTTTCTAAAATGTAATAAACTGTGCACACTCCGATTGTTTTACGAAATTGCGGAAGAAAATCGTAAAGATTCTATTATTTTCTTTCCGATTTTTTGCGGAATTTTCTAAGATGAAATGTACTCTGCACACTTCGATTCTTTTAGGAAATTTCGAAAGAAAATCATTAAAGTAATTATAATAATGTCACAATCGACATTGAAAATATAAAAAAATTCTGACGCACCAAAAAAAATATATATATATATATCTTTTTGTGATTTTGTGCTAGTTATAAACGCGTTTATTTATAAGAACCGAAAATTAAAAAAATAAGAATAAGCCAAAAAGGGAAGTTTAATATTGCGATTATTGAGGAATTGATAACCTTCTCATTTTTTTTGAAGTCGGTTAAAAATTAAGTTTACGTGTCTTGGCCTGTTTTTGCGTAATTTTAGCGTACCTACAGCGTAATATGTATGCAGCTAAATAAGATTACTTTTTTCACAGATTCCTGTTTGTCTGCAGTTGGGAGTGCTAAGCTGGACAACACTGAAGCTATCATTAAAAGATTTTTCAACTCTGCAAAGGACTTAAATACTTACCTTTTGAAAGCTTAAAATTTATATTTATCACTTTATTGTACATTTACTTACCTTAAACCTTGAAAACTATTGTGAATTATTTTGTAGCTGCCTCATAGGCAAACGAGCATTTTGTAATTATTTGGTCGCTATCCTCGCAAACAGCCGGATAGTAATTGAAATCCCGCTCTCATACAATTCATATAGTATATAAACCGAATAAACTTTAGCGATTAATTTCCGAAAATTTCCGTGTTTAATTTCTTTCAGAAGGTTGGCAAAATATTCTTTAAGAAATCTATTCTAACTTTTCTTCAGAATGCTGAAAAAATATTCTTAGAGAGATCTTTTAGAATTTTCCTTTAGAAATTTAACCAAATATATTTAAAGAAATCCTTTCGAATTTTCATTCAGAAATTTAACAAAATATTCCTAAAGAAATCTTTTAGAATTTAAGTTAAAAAATCCTATAGATATTTCTTTACGAGTTCGTGTGAACCCCTTCATACGATTTTCTTTGAAAATTCGTAAAGAAATCATTACAGAATTCGAAACACATTTCCGAGTTTCTTTAAAATTTCGTTAATATTTCGGGAACTTTGGTTTGCAGGGCGAGTGTTCATGAATTAATCGTACCATGCAACTTACATACAGTCACTCAGAAGTATTTGTAATTTAGTTTTTTGTCGAGGGTGTTAAAACTTGCTCTTTACTATACTGAAATTGAACGGGATACAAAACTGGATACTGAAAATTCTACTTAAAAAGTGGAAATTTTGATGAAAATTTTTTAAAGTTTGATTAATTTTTATGAATTTTGTACAAAGTTTTCAAGAATTATATATCGATGGCTGAGTGGAAGATCGACCTATCCCGGCAGCCAGTTCGAAAACGTTCTATCTCAAAAAACTTTTCAAGAACGCCCTATTTCAGAATTCGATTGAAAAACACCCTATCTCAAAATTCGNGAAAAAGATTTATGATGGAAAGCATTTTGAATATTGTGAAAAACTAAACTACGAATACCTCTGTGAGTGACTGTATGTATATACGCAGTGTGAGTTTATTTGTTATTTAACCTTAATAGTAAAATAGTTTCGCCAAATCATCACTTAAATTTGACCTGTAGTCGTTTACAATGTATTTAAGTGTAGAAAATGCACGCTCTGCACTCACTTGCGTGGCCGGAGTTGCATGGATAATTTCGGAAAGCTGTAGCCCGTTTCTGTAACTTTTCTCTACCGATTATTTCTCTACTGGTAGAGAAAATACGTCACTCTCACCTAGTAATTAGCAGTAGAGAACAGGGCGGCGAATTCATATCTCAATTCGCCTTGGTAGAGAATTGTTACAGAAACGAGCTACTGATATACATAAGTTTTTGTGTGTATATTTCTTTCGTTCCCAAAAGGCAGCTAAATTTTCTTTTGTGTCTGTTGATTCATTGAATGATTCAATAGCTGAATATCCTTCTAAAATGCATGAATCGTTGGATGTAGTTGAACTTATTTGGTTTAGAAGTACTCGAAACAAATCTGTATCCTCACCCTCACTATTGTTCTCGCTTTCTATTCTAACACTGATGTCTTGTCCAAGCTGTAAAAGTTTATGCATTTTTTTAAATTTTGAGGTATTTACAAACATTACTATGGCTAATACCTGTGTAGACAGAGCACTAACTTTCAAATGTAATGCTTTCAGGTGTTCGATGGCTACTAGTCTCATATGCGAGAATTCTGAACTCTGCAACAAACGGTGTAGCCTAGGGTCTAGATAAATAGCTGCAGCCACTGTTGGATTACTAAGTAAATTTTTCTTTTGTGTCTGTTGATTCATTGAATGATTCAATAGCTGAATATCCTTCTAAAATGCATGAATCGTTGGATGTAGTTGAACTTATTTGGTTTAGAAGTTCTCCAAACAAATCTGTATCCTCACTATTGCCCTCGCTTTCTACTCTAACACTGATGTATTGTCCAAGCTGTAAAAGTTTATGAATTTTTTTAAATTTTGAGGTATCTACAAACATTACTATGGCTAATACCTGTGTAGACAGAGCACTAACTTTGAAATGTAATGCTTTCAGGTGTTCGATGGCTACTAGTCTCATATGCGAGAATTCTGAACTTTGTAACAAACGATGTAGCCTAGGGTCTAGGTAAATAGCTGCAGCCACTGTTGGATTACTAAGTAAATTTTTCTTTTGTGTCTGTTGATTCATTGAATGATTCAATAGCTGAATATCCTTCTAAAATGCATGAATCGTTGGATGTAGTTGATCTTATTTGGTTTATAAGTTCTCCAAACAAATCTGTATCCTCACTATTGTCCTCGCTTTCTATTCTAACGCTGATGTCTTTTCCAAGCTGTAAAAGTTTATGCATTTTTTTTTAATTTTGAGGTATTTACAAACATTACTATGGCTAATACCTGTGCAGACAGAGCACTAACTTTCAAATGTAATGCTTTCAGGTGTTCGATGGCTACTAGTCTCATATGCGAGAATTCTGAACTTTGCAACAAACGATGTAGCCTAGGGTCTAGGTAAATAGCTGCAGGCACTGTTGGATTACTAAGTAAATTTTTTTTTCGTTCGTTTATTGAATTGAACAACAGTTTAGAAATTGGGTTGGAGTGTTCGGAGCCTTTTTTTACCGTTAAGCAAGTTTCTAAAAAGTATTTGATAAAGTCGCCGAAAACTAAATTGTCATTTTGAAGCTTTTCCGTCACCACTTTCATAACGGAAAAGCTTTTTAAAAAATCGTCCACAAAATCCCAGTCTATGTTTTGATTTGCCAAATTGTTTTCGATGAATTCTTGAAGCACTTTTAAGCGTTGTACTAAATTGTACGAGTAGCTCCAACGTGTTGGGCATTCAGCAATTGGCGGTGGCAAGTTATGCTTGATTAGAATTCGATGTATTGCTGGTGTGCGGAGATTTTTTGCTATTGCGCGGCATTCTTCAAACATGTGTTTTACATCTGCATGTTTTAAAACATCGTGCACGCTCAACTGCAAAGTGTCCGCGGCACATCTTATAACAGAGAGAGTATCTGGAATAAAATGGTTTATTATAAAAGTATGTTCATTAACTATATGCCTTAATGAAGTGAGTAGCCATGCAATTATCAAACAGCGGATCGTCGAAAATATTATCACACGGAATAAAATCCATATTTTCGGCTTCATCCTCGTCATGGTCAAACGTACTTTCAACATGTTCAGTCTCGTTCTGTAAAAGCTTACCACATCTTATCATATTCCGTCCGTTGTCACTTGTGATGCTGTATATTTGCTTGATACAAATTTCATGTCTGAAAACTTTTAACAATAAAGAGTTTCCAAGAAATATGTGCACCTACTTTTCTAAGGTCTCCAAAATTATTTATTTTAAATTGTCTGCTGTATGCTTTTCTGTGAAATTTCTGACGGAAAGCGTTTTAACAACTATTTCTCCCTTATCTAGTAGTTGCGCATTGACGCATACAACATTGCGGTAAAAACGTTGATCACTATCAATTTTGATGGAAAATATCCGATTTGTTAAAAATTGTTTTAAACGGCCGATTTCTATTTGCATTTGTTTTTGCAAAATATGTTTTTATATATGTATATTTTTTCTGTTAATTTTCTGTAGCCCAACTTGCTCACAAATGGGACTTAATAGCTTTTGGAAAGCGTTGCTATTGAAAACTCCCAAGGGAAGGCCACATTCAGTCACAAAATCAGCACACAACTTTTACGTCTTCTTGAATGGTGCTCATTTCCATGCTTGCATTATGCTCGCTGTACTCGTTCTTATGCTTTCGGAAGAGATGTGACTTTAGATTTCCCAGGTGAGCAGTAGGAAGGATCTGACCACATATTTTGCACGTCATTTTTCCATCTATATTTGCCGTATAAAAGTGGCGAATTGCATTGTCCCGCTTTGTTCTCATTGTCTGTTATTTCCTTTTTACGGTTTTTTTTTAAATTACGATGTATTAAATCAACCGAAGCTTATATCGTGAACCTTTGTGTATATATAAATCTCATCGTGTTTTGTTGAAGCGTTGCCAGCACAGTGTGAAATTAACGTTAACGCTAAATTTTTAACGTTTCAACATTAACGCTTTGATTTCGTTTTGATAACATGGCGCCGAAACGTAACAAAATCTTTTTGTTAAGTTAATTTTGCTTTTTAACGAAACGAAATGGTATCGTTTCGTTTGTTGAGCATCCTTGCTTTCTTATATTTTGAGTTCTGGCTACTAGTTGGAAAGATATAGAGCTAAATGTGTTCTGGTTCGTGTCTCCACTACGAGATGCTTTGGTATGTATGTGGCGTCTGTACGTACCTTGATTTAATTTTTTTCAAACTTTCAGGAATTAAAGTACAAAAAAACTAAGAAGGTTTTGTTCCAAGATGTTTTGATTCGTATGCCTGTGTGGGCGTGGCTGCTGCCTGAAATTCGAAAAAAGGCAATTTTATAAACTACCACTGTGGCCGCACTACTCAATCCATGTCATCGATGTGGATATCAGTAGACACGTACCTTTGAAACGTACGGAAAATCTTTTATTATTTATTCGGAACATTGCAAAATTCCCTTGACTGCTAGAAACACAAAACAAAAAAACAGAACTTTTGCAACGATTCGCATGAATAAAAAAGATTTTCCCTACGTTTCCAAGGCAGTTAAAAAATGCGTATAATTTTCGTCACGAAATTGATATCATAAATTTTGTGTTTCTAGTTCAGCTTTCGTCACTCGAAAATTTTANAACTTTAACGAGACCTTAACTTATTTTATTTTATTCATTTTAGTACAGTTTTTACAAAATTTTCTTGCTAAAAAATCTTTTGTTACACTACTTCATTTTATTCCTTTGATTGTACGGTTAGATAAAAGCTTGTTTTTAAAAAATATTTTGTTTACATTATTTTACTAATTTATTTTACTTGCCTCATAAATAGCTCTGCAGGTGCAAAGCGTATATTTTCAGACTTAAAATTGATCAAATATGAAAAGGGAAATAGAATTTCATTACAAATTGTTGAGAATACAATGGAGCGTATTCATAGTAAAAATAAAATGGACATTGAAGGCAATCTCACCTTTTTGACATAATTTCCAACGAGTTTAACGTAGAATGTATCACATAATTTGATAATTAACTTAAGTGAGCGACAGATAATAGTTTTAAGTATGTATGTGTGTACCAGTGTTGGGCAAATTTTAGTTGTAAGGACAAATAACAATTAA